GTCATTTCAGATGCAATGAAGGAGAAACCAGAATCTATCACACAACATGGATTAGATAAAGTACATTCATTGTGTTTTTTACTGTTTATATTTTAAATCATCCAACTTTAATTGGCATATTTAACCTTAATTTTTACAACTTTTCCACATTTATTTTTTTTTCATAGGTTGTTACCGAAGCTCGACCAGTCGCAATTAGGACCAAATCAGAAGCCCTTAACAAGCGTGCACAAGATAAAGTATTTTACTTTTTTGTCATTTTCTCTATTGTCTCGTCAATATATATACTCTTAAAAGTACATTGCAAATATAAAATTGATTACAAATTTTAATATCCAAATTATACTGTATTTTCATCTTATATAGCCAGTTGGTGAGCCCGATTCAAACGTCGTTATGAGCACAGTCGATGATGATGATGCATTTCCAGAGATCACTACGCAATTTCTGGCTGAGGTGGATAGAACTGCACAAGAAAAGATAAATAGTGCATTAAAAGAAAGAAATGAGGTATCATACCATAATTGGTACTACATACTATATTTTACGTATATATATTCTGTTCTTCAATTTTCATGGGGTGTACAGAAAAATAAGACCAGCATGTGGAGTTCAGTAAACACAGCAACAGTCATAGATGTTGGTGATGCCTTGAATCGATCGTCTCAACCGTCTTTCAGTTTAGGAATCCCAGATTTACAACCTCCACCACCATATAGAGTCTTGAACCCTGTCGCGCACCAATCTGTAATTGTCTTTTTATATTTCTTATTTAAGTTATTTATTTACATTAATCTATTCTAATCAATTGTTATTTTCTCTTCAAGACGACTCGTACTGAGCATGACTTGGATAAAAGAAATATAACACGTGCAAAGCGAAGGAGCGTTGTCGAACCCACCAGCAATGCGATGGTTGTCTTTCGACCACCGGGTAACAAATCTTTTGGAAATTCGATAAAACGCACTAGGAGAGAGCGGAAAAAAACACCCCTACAAAGGTCATGCCCATTGGATGTTGATTTTTGGCATGGTGCGTATACGAATCTTGACGTGGAGGCATACAAAGATTGGATTGCTAAGGGAACGCTTCAGCGACCTCGAAAAGTGGGAGACTGGTAATTGAATAGATACAAATACATCACAACTTACTACTTTAATCTTTTAATGAATATCATACAACGACTAATTAGAACATTTGCATATACGACATTTATTTTTTTCTTTTCTTGTCTTATACAGGTACAATTACTATGATTCTAGGACCAGATTCTTGAAACCTCCAATGGATTTCAATGTTGCTGAAGTTACGGACAAGAACTGGTTGTACTACATTTATGAGACCAATATGTTTCTTGAAAGTAATTTAAGTATAATTTAATCCATGTATATATTTTAACGTTTTTTAAATTAATACATCAACAGGAATTATACCTTTTTTTATTTTGGTCATTTTTTAAATATAGTTGTTTTGTTTCTTATTTTTTTCATATCGCAGCACTTGGATGTATTGTTTTACTATTTGCGCAAGATCGGTTTGTACGGGAAAAATGCTCCAGTGCGGTTCACAACAACCGATACCCTGTTTGACCAGCACATAAAGGCATTGTATAGTACCTTTCTGGAACAATCGCGCAATCCGGGTGTATGTTCTGTTCAGGACATGATTATAGACTACATTTTGGGTTATAAAATTATAAGTGGATTGTCATGGTTTGAAGTTGATCACGTTCTGTTTCCAATGCATGTTGAACTTAATGGCATTGGTCACTGGATTCTGGGGAGATTCTCTTTTGCCGACATGAGGTTTTGGATTTATAATTCATATCAATCTGTAGATTTTGACAAGGTTGTTCTAGTGAGTGCACATGCCTATTCCGAGCTTCTGCCCATTTTCCTTCGTTTGGTGCACTTTTTCGATAAGAGGACTAACGTAAACACCGATGCGGGTGGACGAATCAAAACAGATGTGAACTCTCCTCTAGAAATTACGGTTGCTTCTAACATCCCAAAGCAGATCAACAGGTATTTTTTCATATGCCATCATGCATTTCAGTTTGTTAATATATATAACAGGTTGTTTTTATATATATAACAGGTATCTAATAATTTTTCAAAACAATCAAATAGATTACTAGTATATTTTTTGTATATAATCCAGTACATGTGACAAAACCATATATTTTTTGTATTTGGATTTTTTTTTCAGTGATTGTGGTGTGTTCGTTGTGTCATATGTTGAGCACTTCATAACCGATGTTGACCTTCCTGATAAGTACGATATTAATGTGGAGAGGCTTAGATACTCGTACTTGCTATATGCGCATGGAATTTTCAAAAAAGAAAATGATTATGAAAGCGAGGATGAATCACCCGGCACAATGCCTGAAGAAGTCCGTATCAGTTACTTGGAATGATTGTTTAGTTAGGTGGAACAATTTATCATTAATCTGTGTTTCTTTTTGATGACATGCAGACGTTCTTTTATGCTTTTTTATTTAGATTTTTTTTTTTTTTGGAATTAGTATTATCAGACTTGGTCTATATTATGAATGATTTCTTTTCAACGCATGTTCTGCATGTAACTTTACACTAAGGTGTATATAATTGTATGTATAACTGACAGCTAACATATCAAATCATATAATACAACTGACATGTAAATCAAATGACAACATATATCGGAAGTGTATCAGTTCATATACTTAACATATACATAATTCATCTGACATGTAATTCTGCTAACATATCAAATTATTTATGGGAAGTGTAACAGTTTAAATACTTAACATATACATAATATATACATATGATATGTAATTAATAATGGTACAGTCACTTGATATCTAATATATCTAGTAGACAAAGTTTGTAGAATGGTATGCATACACCACTTAACAAATAACACATGACTAATTCCTAAAGAGATAAAATATCACATGGCTAATTTCTAAAAAATCACACCTAACAATAACACATGGATAACTTCTAATAACATTACATGTATTATGTAATTTAAAGAGATTAAATACACATAAGTACGTTTAAACTATTAGTAAAGGATAAAATCCATTCGGGTTCTTGAATACATACAGTAATTACCTAAGATTTTTTGGGGTTCCGACAAGTTTTTACATTATGCCCTTTCTCATTACATTTACTGCATCTATTCTTAGATCTATGCTCCCATCCCGATTTTATTCGCTGTTT